TGGCCGTTTTCCCAAAACTCTGTAAGCTTAGGGCAGTCCAACAAAATATGTGATAAAGAGCCAATCACACCACAATCACACCAACATTTATTAGAGATCACGGGATTCATTCTATGTAGTCTAGTAGGGTGAAAATACCATAAATAAATAATTTTTAAATGATTCTCTAAGTGACCAGAACATTGTGTTTTACCTTTGAGAGAGGTGGTGAAGCCAAGCCAGTCCTCTAGTTTATATTGAAACCCCAAATCCTTTTCCCATGCCAGCATGTATTCTGTTTTTGTCGCGAGATTAGGCATGACACATGCATAGCAAAGGGATATGGTATGTCTTCTGCCCAGATCAAAGAGATATATATTTTCCTAATTAGAGGTTTCCAAGGTATCAAATCTTTGATCAAGGGCAGAAATAGCAAAATCTTCTTTCAGTATGTCAATAATGTTATTATATTCCAAATTATTAATATTGTCTAAAGTAAATTTGGATTGTAATTTCTCAAAAGACATTATAGAGTTTCCCAAAATTAAATCATTTAAATTAGAATTGAATGCATATGCCAATAATTTAGGTTAATTTGTGGTAAACGGCGTTGTAGAGCTGATAAAGGCATAGCTCTAGATAAACTGGATGATGACCTGATTGCACCAAACACTACATTCCAAGCTTTGAGAGTCGTTCTAGTTGTAAGGAACATTTCTGCTACATAGGGACATTTATGCAATGGTAACCACAGAATATATTTATAGAATAGGAGTGCAACTTGTCCGTCTCCATTTCCAACCAACTAGGACATTGGGTCTCTAAATTAAACTTAAGCCCAGAGGCAGCATTGGCGAAGTAGTAATATTTTTTAAAGTCAGGAATTTTTATTCCTCCATTAGACCTAGATTTTGCAGTATAGTAAACTTAACTCTACTTGCTTTCTTCCTACATATGTATAAGATCAGGACAGAATGGACATCGGTATGGCCAGAAGAATGGCTCTAATATAATAAAGTCTCTTGGGGAGGATAGATAGATGCCATTCTTCTCAACCAGGAAATCTTTAACTCACACTATCTGTCTATCTCTTTTTTGAAGTTCAAGTTTTTACATGGTTTAGTTCCTAAATAATTAAAATAGGAATCTCTCCAATTGCATTTAAAATCTGCTCTCAAATTATCCAGATCAAACCATGGAATATGGAAAAGTAAAGCTCGTTTAAAAAAAAAAAAATTTAATTAAAAAAAATTAAATAAATAAATATTACATTCTTGTAAAAAGAAACCCCACTAAGTTACTCCAAAATGGAAAATAACAGTCATATTGATCTAATTGAATTTTAAATTGACAAAATGATGTTGTCTGCAAAAAGGCCTATTGCATGTTTTCCTTTGCAAAAAAAACGCTCTCAAACTCAGATTAATTTCTAATTAACTCTGCCAGGTGTTCCATTGCCAAAACAAAAATAAGTGGAGATTATGGACACCCCTTTCTGGTTCCATTAGTTCATTGAATACTATCTGACAGGAAGCCTGGGGCTGGTACTCTAGTTTGTAATATAAAACGAATACTGAGTTAATTAATGGTGATGGTAGGTGAAATTTATACATAACTTCTTTTAAATAGCCCTCTATCTCCGCATCAAACTACAGGCGTAAAGAAGGCGTTCGATTACACTTAATCTGATGGATTAAATGAATGAGTCTTCTAGTGCTATCTTTTTTCCTTTAGCTATGTGGTGTCGCCATGGGTACGAGGTGCGCCCCAAGCTTTGCCAACTTGTATGTGTCCCATTGGGAATCTCTACAGGTCGAGTTGGGACCTTGTCTTGGGGGGGAGCCTCGTCTTCTGGCAACGCTACATAGATGATGTTCTTATTATTTGGCAAGGTTATCATTGCAGCCTCACCAGTTTCATCCAATAAAGAGAACATGGAACAAGACGCATTAAAAATAAAAGGCAGAGACCGATCTGAATTTCTGTGTGATAACCCCAATAAGAATCCTAAGAAAAATAATAACTTTGAATTTGAATTCACCACTAAATACAATACACATGCCAAGAGAATCGAAAAGATCCTGAATAAACACTGGGCGATCCTGAAAAAAGATGATAGTTTAGGAAATGTCATCCCGGATAAACCTGTGGTTATTTACAGAAAAGCAGATAACCTAAAAAGCCAACTTGTTCCCAGTCTCTTACCCAATAAAAACAATAAAAAAGATAATTTTCTTCAATCTTCTAAATCCCCTGGATTTCATGAATGTGGACATGTTCAACTTGCACCCACCAAAAGAAAAAGATTACCAGTTTTACAGGCACATATACCAGCAAAACACATTCTATCCAAAAGTTTATACATTGCTCATCCACATATGTCATTAATTTGCTACAGTGTGGTTGTGGGCAGGACCACCCGATAACTCCAGATTTCAGGAACACTTCAATAATATAAGGAACAAGAAATTAGAACATAGTGTACCAAGACATTGCAGTACATGCACACTTTTTGATTGATCCACTTTTACTGCCATTGGCATAAAAAGCCATATTCAGTGGAAAGGAGGGAATAAAATGAAAGAATTTGTTAAAAAGAAAGCCCAATGGATATATAATTTGAGAACCTTAAAAAATGGCTTAAATCAAAACATCGATTGAGCAGGTCTTATTTAACTTAATTTACTTTTTCACTGCTTCTTTTGTCTTGGTACTTTTGGGTTGCCCCCACCCTCCTCCAAAGTTATTCTACACAATACTGTACATTTACTGTTTATTATTATGGTTTATAATTGTGTTTTTTAATATAATTGTTTTTCTTTTCTTTTTAAACATCAGAAAGGTATTTATCCCATAAATTTGTGCCATTATGTCTTAGTAATATAATAAATACCAATTCATCATATGTTGTTATATATAATAAAATTTCTATTAAAGTTTTATTTTATTTTATTGGACGCAAGACGGGCTATAGGGTATCAGTATCTATCCTATTGTACCTTCGTAATCTATATTAGCCACTATAAAGGGAATCAACACAGTAAAGGAGGAGACTATATTTAAAAGAAGAAAAACTACCACAACAAGAGGACATAGTCTTAAATTAGAGGGACAAAGGTTTAAAAATAATATCAGGAAGTATTACTTTACTGAGAGGGTAGTGGATGCTTGGAATAGCCTTCCAGCTGAAGTGGTAGAGGTTAACACAGTAAAGGAGTTTAAGCATGCGTGGGATAGGCATAAGGCTATCCTAACTATAAGATAAGGCTAGGGACTAATGAAAGTATTTAGAAAATTGGGCAGACTAGATGGGCCGAATGGTTCTTATCTGCCGTCACATTCTATGTTTCTATGTTTCTATGTTAAGACCTTGCTTCCTCTATAGTCATACCTTATAAAACGTAACATATAATACATACAAGACAAACTACTCATTCAAACAGTGCACCAAAGCTATTAGAGAATATCTGATGAAAGTTTCTAATTTTAAGGATCAGTTTTTATTAGTATGCTCTACATTATTGGTTAATGGATGTCTCGGTTATCCAGGGTTCCCATATCTTGGTGTGTATATGGACCTGAGGAGCGTTCATGGATCACTTCTGATGAAGCCCACCCTCCTTGTCTTGTCCGGTCATTCCACAACCGGTTTCCTAACAAGCCTGCTCCTTCCCACCCGGTGGGCGGTCTTCGAGTGGGTGGTATAGTCACGGCCCCTGGCTCGCAGCTGCACGTGGTCGCACCCAATCAGTGCGACCACACAGACAGGTTAAAGAAATTACCTGTGCAGCAGCGAGTCAGGAGCCGACCTGCTGGGGCGCCCGTCCCCACCACACACAGGATCCAAGATGGCACCGACCGCCAGGTCGCAGCCATTTGTAGCCCCGCTTCCAAAAATCATGTGAATGTCGATGCACATGCACGTTCTGGGGTCAGAGGCCGACCTCTGACCAATCACAGCCCAAGGAGGGGCATTTGAACCCCAGAATACCTTCATTCAGTTCATTGCCCTGTCATGGTTTCTGTTCCTGGTATCTGAGAGTGCCTTTTCTTGTTCTTGTATTTGATATTACTGGTATTTGACTTCAGCTATTCCTGACTATTCTAATTTCTGGTTTCCCTGAATTGGCTTTCTAATCGACCTTGCGTATTTCTGGCTCCCTTGACCTCGGCTTTGCCTTGACTATTCTCCATCTTTCAACGTATTAACCCGGCCATTCTAAGGACCGGTTTACGTTCTGTCTCTTTTTCTGTTCTATGTAGATGTTACAATCACAGCCCAAGGAGGGGCATTTGAACCCCCGAATACCTTCATTCAGTTCATTGCCCTGTCATGGTTTCCGTTCCTGGTATCCGAGAACACGTTTTCTTGTTCTTGTATTTGATATTCCAGGTATTTGACTTTAGCTATTCCTGACTATTCTAAACTCTAGTTTCCCTGACTTGGCTTTCTAATCGACCTTGTGTAAAAACATATACACCTCCGGATTTGTTTCAAAATGTGGAGTGATATTGCATTGGATAGTATTTATTCATGATGCCTTGTGTATGTAACAGTCGCGTGTGAGGTGCCCCAAAGGCAATCCTCCAGCACACATTTTTGGTATTTTTAGGTATTATTAGGAAAAGGTTAATACAATACGTTGCATACAAGTTTGGTCAATTATGTCCTGTCGATTAGGTCTGCAAAATTTTAACAACAACAGCGAGGAGTGCGTTAGATCATGCTTAACCTGTCCTTTCGATTAGGTCGGCAGAATCTTAACATCAACCGTGAGGCTTTAATGCAAACGAGCTGAACTAGTAGTGCGTTAGATCATGCTTTTATGTCACAGTGCTTATGAGACAGGGTTATCAGCTTAACGTTTGTGTTGTAGGTCGCACGTACAGTATTATGGCAAGTTAATTAAGACATTCCCAGTGGGTTGCAGGTCACTGATAGCGCATCACACAAAATAGCCAGCCCAAATACCCTTATTTAAGAAGCTAGCTTGTGTCTCGGGGGGCAAGTTAAACCTCGAGGTAGGGGAGGTAGTGGTATGTATGGGGTTGGTAAGAGAGCCCCACCATATATCGCTTGTGACCGTTTAAGCTAGGCTAGGCAATAACTTTATGCACACATACTTTGATATGTCCGGCTACTTTAAAATGTCAGGTTACGTTAGTTATAAGTCCTGCTTGTTGCCTCGATTGACGGGTTGAGGCAGGCGGGGAACAGTATTCTCCTGTGGAGCCTAACATCAGGGAGCTCTGTTGTCGCTTTCAGCCCATGCCACACTTTGCCATGATAGAGCAGTCCTTTAATTCTGGGTACTCCACTGATGAGGTAATGTCAGTGTGTTGGAGTAGCTGCCTGGTTGTCTGTATGCTTTATGACGTCTTCCGTCGTGGTGTAAAGTGCGGTATGGATGGCTCTCCATGTGGGAAATCGGTTCTTTGGCACGTCTGAGGTGGATGTGCTTGCTTGTGTGCCATCCGGGTACTAGCTTGTTGTGCCCCATTCTCTTTCGCTTGTTTCAGACCCGCCGTGGAGCTGGGGGGGGGAAGGGAAAGGGGCCAGGCCTGCGCTGATCCGGACCTCCAGTCGGGTGCTGCTGGGCAGGATAGCGGGGCAGCGGCCGTCCGCTCCGCTCACCGCCTGAGAAGGCCCCATCTTGGGGAACGAAGTCCTCTCCCCCAGGGGACTGTAGTTTCCCTTTTGTTCCGAAGATCCATGCTGCTGGTCTGTGTTTTCGCGGGAAAAACATGTTTTTTTAGGGTTAAAGAGTGTTAGTTTACATTAGCTGTTCATGTTTGCGACCGTCCCGCTCGGCGGATCGGCCCCGCCCCTCCGTGTATATCCTTTTTTAAAATGTGTCTCCTGAATACACAAGACATCTAAATTCCGAGATTTAGCCTCCTTAAATAGCAATCTTATTTTATGCGCCGAGTTCAGGACCTTCACATTAAATGACTAGGTCTTAAGAACCATTATATCATGTTAAAAAATGATCTGAACTAGTAAAGACCAGATCTCTGTGAGGGGGCCCATAATGAACCACACAAAATAATCAAATATGACATAACATTTCAAGAGCATGAATACATCATTACAATTCATCCTTATTAACAGTGTTGTTTGCGGACCACACCTTGAATCTGTATCATTGTATCCAAAATTGATAACCATTAGACCAGCGGTTCTCAACCTTCCTAATGCCGCGACCCTTTAATGCAGTTCCTCATGTTGTGGTGACCCCCAACCATAAAATTATTTTCGTTGCTACTTCATAACTGTAATTTTTCTACTGTTATGAATCGTAATGTAAACATCTGATATGCAGGATGTATTTTCATTGTTTTGAACATAAAGTATAGTGATTAATCACAAAAACAATATGTATTTATATATTGTGAAATATTTCTAGTTACAAATAAAACAGTCATAATATAACAACAGTAAGCTACATTTTGCGACAGTATGCGTAAAAAGCCAACGTCAGTGTGAAGGTTGAGATTGCTTCTTTTTCACCAGATTAGAAATTCTCGGGGCAGTCTTTGCAAGAGCACAACGAAGATCATCTTCCACAAAAAGTCTACTTCTGTATTTAGATTTGATAACTAACAAGCTGGAAAACCCTGTTTCACAAAGATATGTTGTTGGAAATGGAAGAAGAAGGCGCAACACAGTCTCAGACAGAACAGGATATGACTGCAAACACTTGATCCAGAATTTTGTAACTGGCATTGTAGAGAACTCTGTTCTCGCTGCATCGCTGTTAATAAGCATAATGAAGTCCTCTTGTGCTGTATCAGGAACATCTTCAACTTTGACTGTGAATGGGCTTCTGGCAAGTGCAAATGGGGTGTCAGGTAGATTTGGAAAGTACGATGAAATTTCGTCTGCAAGCATGTGCAAGTGTTCTTTCACAGACATTATCATCGTAATCCTTTTGTCTGGTTCAATGTCATGTTCCTCAAAGAAAGCAGATAAGGTAGGCAACATGTAAATTTTATTTTCATCCAATTTTTTGTGCCAAAGCTAAAGTTTCATTTGGAATGATCGGATCTTTTCAGACAAATCGAGGCATGTTGCATTTGGTCCTTGCAGTGATAAATTTAACTCATTCAAGATGGCAAAGATGTCAACCAAGTAAGCTATTTTCTGCAGTTCACTTTTATCGCTGAAAAGTGCTTCGAACTGCGGTTTTGCTTTCTGATTAAAAAACTTTTTGAGTTCATCACGAAACTCAAAAACACGTTTTAAAACTTTTCCTCTCGAAAACCATCTCACTTCAGTGTGAAATAGCAGAGCATTGTTCGGTGCATCCAACTCGTTGCACAGTTGCGAAAACAGTCGACTGTTTAAAGTGCTCGCCTTTACAAAATTGACAGAAGTTATGATGCTTTTCATTACTTCTTGTAACTCTTGTGGCAGTGTCTTTGTTGCTAATATTTGCCCAAGAATCATACAGTGAGTTCTGATGACTTTTGGGGACTTATTCAGTACCAAACGTTGGAATCCAGATCGACATCCTAGCATAGCTGGAGCACCATCTGTGCAAACACCACAAACGTTTTCCCAAGAGATTTTATGCTCTTTCAGAAACGAACTAACTTTATCAAATACATCACGTGCAGTAGTTGTCGTTGCAAGAGGTTTGCAAAAAAGAAACTCATCTTTAAAGTTGCCATCATTAATATACCTCACGTAAACCAGTAACTGTGAACAGTTTGCAACGTCTGTAGATTCATCAAGCTGGATACTAAATATTGGAAGTGGAGCAGATTTAATTTCCTGGATTACCTGATCAAGAATATCGGCCGACATGTCATCTATTCTTCTGCGGACAGTGTCGTTAGATAAGGAAATTGCACCCAATTTCGGAACAAATTTGTCTCCAATCATAACTCGAACGATGTCTTTGGCCGCTGGCAACAGTAAATCCTCAGCAATGGTGGGAGGTTTCATAGCTCTGGCGATTCTGAGTGCCACCAAATATGAAGTTTCAACGGCTGCTACATTTTGTTTGTGGTACTTTCCACCAGTATCAAGTCTGGCTTTCTTGAGTCCATCAGCTTTGCTTCTAAAATAGTTGGCATCCTTGCCAGCAAAGCTTGGATGCTTGCTATCAAAATGGCGTTTTAGTTTGTTCGGCTTCATAGATTCGGCTGATAGAACTTCACAACAAATAACACATTGCGGTTTCTCAATTCCTGCTGTAATTATTGAGGTAAAACCATACTGTAAAAAATCCTCACTATATTTTCTTTTCTTAACGTTCTTCTCTACACGATCCATTGTCATTGGATGGTTTGCTAATGAAAATAATATATAACAATAACTTCAATAATACAAAAGATGATACATGGCATAGTTCAGTCAATACAGTTCATTAAAGTTTCCTATGATTTACTACTCTCTGTGTTTTTTTTTTACATAACTGTTACTATCACAAGGGGGCAGTATTCACATCAACCACAGCTGAATATAAAAAGACCAATTAGCAACCAGATTAAGTTCCCATGGTACGGCATTTTTTTTTCTTATCATCACGCTGGGTACTCGTATGTGGGCATTTCTGCATGTGGGCGGACTGGACATGGATAGAGGAGCGGTGTCTTGGTTTCTAAGACCATCGGAAATATTTTTTTTGATGATCTCAGTCAATCACAGTGATTTCCTATAGGAAAGCATTGGATTGGCTTAAAACTTCAATTCTGATGTCAGCCAAGGAGTCAAGTCAGGGACGGCTGCCATGGTTAATCAGCATCTCCTAATAAATAGAGCGTGCAGTTGCTGAATGTCAGTGAAGCACACTGTGCAGCACTGACCTAGAAAGCACCTGTACTGGCAGTCTAAGGAGTGGCCACTAGCGGTGCTCCTAGGTTGGAATGTAAACACTGCTATTTCTCTGAGAGAGAGAAACATTCAGAGGTATGAATTAAGCGTTTATAAACATAATATAAACTAAGTCAGAATGCATTTTTATGTGCCCCTCCCCCTTTTCCACACCCATCTTAGACCAGTACACTAATGAAAGAAACAGGGCATCATTGTGCAACATCAGGAAAGAGAAATGTGACAAAGGAGCATGCTCTGCATGAATCACACTGTTCAGACTCTCTATCTTCTCCCACCCGTCAGGATGTTGCCAGGTGAAAAGATCTTACAACTGCACATGTGTAACTAAGTCAGGCATGCCCAATGCAATTGTGCAGAATTCCTGGGGATAGGACACTAATTTGTTAGTACAGTGTGCCCCTGGAGTGGGTGTGGAAAGCATAAGGAAGAAAAAACAGGTGAATTTTGAAATAAATAAAATCATATTTGTGTAGGAAACTGGAAGTAGCGCTTCACAACATTTACAGGTGGTACATGGAGTAAAAAGATGAAAAATATAGTGTAGTATTTCTTTAATGTGAGAAAAAAAAGCAAATGCCCTTACAAATGGGTGGAGCTATCAAGAGCTCCACTTGTAGGCACGTGAGCGATATAATCCTCATTTAAGGATGCTTATAGGGTCCCTTGATTCCACTTGTCAATCCAGGGTTTATGCAACAAACAGCATGTATCCTAGCTTCAAAAGCAGAATCAAGGGGCACTAGATGTAACACAAGATACTAAAAATATAGAAACCACACAAAGATATATCTATCATAATACATGTATATACACACATCTCTCTCATTTTACACTTTGGTTTCGCCCTTTGACAGGGGCACCAATTGTAGGCTCAGAACAACGTCATGGTTCTGTGTGAGTAACTAGTCATATAGAGTTGGATACCCACATAAAACCATTACATCGACACATGTTCACCAAAATAGTAAACATAGAATACATCAGATCAGGAGGTTAGAGTAGTTTTATATTACAGAACTACTCATCTTCTGATCTGCACCTATACAGCTAATTTTCTTACGCATAAAAACAAAACCTTTCTTACCCGAGAGATATGAAATGAGAGGGACCACACGATTTGGTATCCAGCCAGTCCAGTGTCCATGCATACCCGAGCAAATTGAAACGGAGACTGAGAGACGGCTCACTTGTCTACGGTCTCAAGACAGCTGCCTTCGCCCTTTACAAGCTTCTTCCTGCAAAATAAAAAAATATATATATATTTTCTTTAAATACGATAATACTATAGTCATACTATACTGTGTAGTCATACTATATTACATATATTATTGTTAATATTAACATATTAACATTTAATATTATTTATATAATATATGATATAATAATATAATATAAAATATATTATAATTACATTAATATAATTATTATATTAATAATATTAATTAATATTGTTATGTAATATTGT